GAGACCAGCCTGGCCAACATGGTGAAACCCTGTCTCTACTAAAAATACAAAAATTAGCTGGGTGTGGTGTTGGGCGCCTGTAGTCCCAGATATTCAGGAGGCTGAGCTAGCAGAATGACTTGAACCAGGAGGCAGAGATTGCAGTGAGCTAAGACTGTATCACTGCACTCCAGCCTGAGCGACAGAGATTCCATCTCAAAAAAAAAAAAAAAGGCGGGGCATGTTGGTTCACACCTGTAATCTTAGCACTTTGGAAGCCCAAGGCAAGAAGCCACCTTGAGGGCAGGAGTTAGAGACCAGCCTGGGCAACATGGCAAGACCCTGTCTCTACAAAAAATAAAAATAAATGAAGAAAAAGAAAATGTTTTAACACACACAAAGAAGACTCCTACCAATATCATTAATTCTTTGAATTGAGTAAATAAGTAAAACATTTTAAATGTATATGTTAAGTATTTTCTAGAATCAATACGTTATTTAAAAAATTATAATATTGCCGGGTGCATGGCTGACATCTGTAATCCCAACACTTTGGGAGGCCCAGGCAGGTGAATCACCTGAGGTTGGGAGTTCGAGACCAGCCTGACCAACATGGAGAAACCCCATCTCTACAAAAAATACAAAAACTGAGCCAGGCGTGGTGACACACGCCTGTAATCTCAGCTACTCAGGAGGCTGAGACAGGAGAACTGCTTGAACCCAGGAGGCAGAGGTTGCAGTGAGCTTAGATGGTGCCACTGCACTCCAGCCTAGGCAACAAGAGTGAAATTCCATCTCAAAAAAAAAAAAAAAAAAAGAGAAAAAGTATGATATTAACAATTTTCAAAGTATTCACAAGGCCAGGCACAGTAGATGACGCCTGTAATCCCAGCACTTTAGAAGGCCAAGGTGGGTAGATCACTTGAGGTCAGGAGTTCAGGACCAGCCTGGTCAACGTGATGAAACCCCATCTCTACTAAAAAAAAATACAAAAATTGGCTAGGCGCGGTGGCTCACGCCTGTAATCCCAGCACTTTGGGAGGCCAAGGCAGGCAGATTGCTGGAGCTCAGGAGTTCACAACTAGCCTGGGCAACACAGTGAAACCCCATCTCTACTAAAATACAAAACACTAGCTGGGCATGACAGCACGCACCTAGTTCTAGCTATTCCAGAAGCTAAGGCAGGGGTATTGCTTGAACCCAGGAGGTAGAAGTTGCAGTGAGCCAAGATCACGCCACTGCACTCCAGCCTGGGCAACAGAGCACTCAGTCTCAAAAAAAAATTAGCCAGGTGTGGTGGCACATGCCTGTAACCCCAGCTACTCCAAAGACCGAGGCAAGCGAACTGCTTGAACCCAGAAGGCAAAGGCTGCAGTAAGCCAAGATGGCACCACTGCACTCCAGCCTGGGTGACAGAGTGAGACTGTCTCAAGAAAAAAATAATAATAGTAATAAATAAAAAATAAAAGTGTCAATCAAATAACTTTTTTCCCAGTATAAATATTTTCAAACAGACAGAAACATGTATAAAGCAACTTTTACAAATTCAGGCAAGAACTGGCAACATGTTCTTTTGCATTTTCTCTGTCCTATCAATCTTGTTTGACAATGGATATAATTTTATAAAGAGATTAAATAATTCAGAACCCTTCCTGATGAATAAGACAGGTAATCACACTGGGGTCATACAATTAGGGGCAACAAGTTATTTTTCTGTTCCTCAGTTTCCTCATCTGAAGGCAGTCTGAAAAGAGGTAGAAAATACATTTCAAGCATGTAGCCTCTCCAAGACATTACTCTAAGGACAAATATTTAGTTAGACTTGCTTTTTAAAACCCAGTCCTATTATCTTATCCATATAAAGCATTTGCTACAGTATATGACATATAATAATAAGCATTGAATAAATGTTAGTTACTATTACTAGCTATCAGTAGTTACATTTCAAAAGGGTATCTGAATCTGGCAAAGTTAAAGACTTAGCATTTCTTCTTTTGATTTACAAGACTTGTTTTCTTTTTTTAATCTAATATACTGAACACTGGCCAGGTGTGGTGGCTCATGTCTGTAATCCCAGCACTCTGGGAGGCTGAGCTGGGAAGATCACCTGAGGTCAAGAGTTTGAGACCAGCCTGGCCAACATGGTGAAAACCCGTCTCTACTAAAAATACAAAAAGTAGCCAGGCATGGTGGTGGGCACCTGTAGTCCCAGGTACTTGGGAGGTTAAGGAAGGAGAATCAATTGAACCCAGGAGGCAGACGTTGTAGTGATCCGAGAGTGTGCCACTACACTCCAGCCTGGGAAAATAAGCAAGACTCCATCTCAAAATAAATACATAAATAATAATACACTGAGGATAATCATTAAATTGAGATTAGAAAGAAATGCTAGCACTGGCATAATCTCTTAAATTGTTGTGCAGCTTTCTAAGGGACTTTTAACTTTAACATATATAACACTTACTGAAATTTACCCTCGTTCCTGTGACAGGTTGGAAAAATTCAAAAAGACTGCAGGCATGAGGAACTTTGTGAAAACCAAGGAATGTAGAGGTCTTCTTCTTTCCTAAATTATTCCAAAATGCCTCAGTTACAGCCTCATTTCATCCTATTCTTCCTTGGAACACAGTATTTGCATTTATACTTGATAGTTTTATATATGTAAAGTCACAGCAAAGTATAAACCATATCTGGCATCCAGAAGCAGGAATATCTCTAATAATAGGTGTAGGAAGGCTGTATGGCATGTGGGATGAGCATATATTTAATATTGGGACAGATCTGCACATGAATTAGTACTCCGCTATTTACTTACAGTATGACCCTCAGCAAGTTACTTCTCTGAACCTCAGTTTATCTGAATGTAAATGGGAATGATAATAGCTACCTTATAGAGATGAGAAAAATCCCACAAAAATCTATGTAAAATGCCTGGTACATAGGCATTCAATAAAGGATAGCTATTATTATTGCCAAATTTTTATTCTGTTATATAGCTGTGAACAAATCATATTCCATACTTACAAGGTACAAACTGTAAAGATATAAAGGTATATCTCTTTCAAATTAAAACTTGAAGTAACAAATATACTCCATGCATAAGCAAAACTACACAGATAAGACCTTCCCAGCTGATTTTCAGAACTGGTTTTTGTCTGCTTTTTTTTTTTTTTTTTTTTTTTTTTTTGAGACGGAGTCTCACTCTATTGCCCAGGCTGGAGTGCAGTGGTGCAATTTTGGCTCACTGCAACCTCTGCTGCCTGGGTTCAAGCAATTATCCTGCCTCTGCCTCCAAAGTAGCTGGGATTACAGGCGCCTGCTACTGTGCCTGTTTTTTTGTATTTTTAGTAGAGATGGGGTTTCACCATCTTGGCCAGGCTGGTCTTGAACTTCTGACCTTGTGATCCACCCGCCTCAGCCTCCCAAAGTGCTGGGATTACAGGCATGAGCCACCGTGCCCAGCCTCAGAATTGGTTTTTGAAAACCGAAGTACTAAATTGGCTGTGATTTCCCATTACAAAGGTCAAAAGCAGAAATTAGTTTTTCCATAACAATAATGATCCTCCCACTGTCAAATGAAGATGTAAGGTATTTTATACTGGCAAACCTCCAAATGGATATAAGTTACAGGAGTTATTTCTGACATAAGAATGACTTCTCAGCTGAACGTGGTGGCTCATGCCTATATCCCAGTGCTTTGGGAGGCCAAGGCTGGAAGATTGCATGAGGCCAGGAGTTTAAGGCCAGCCTGGGCAACAGAGCAAGACCTTACCTCTACAAAAATAAAAATAAAAATATTAGCCAAGCTGTAGTCCCAGCTACTCAGGAGGCTAAATCAGGAGGATCACAGGAGCCCAGTTTTGTGCCACTGCACTCCAGCCTGGGCAACAGAACAAGACCTTGTTTCTTAAAAAACAAACAAACAAAAAGACTTCTCAGAGTAAAGAAAAAACAAAAAAAGAAAGAAAGGTTTGTCCCATTAGAAATGAAAAATATTGAAATTAGCCAGCCATGGTGGCACACGCCTGTGGTCCTAGCTATATAGGAGGCTGAGGTGAGAGGCTCACTTGAGCCCAGGAGGTTGAGGCTGCAGTGAGCTGTGTTTCCACCACTGCACTCCAGCATAGGTAAAAGAGTGAGACCCTATCAAGAAAAAAAAAAAAAAAAAAAAAAAGAAAAATGTTTATTCTAAATTATACAGTAAGAGGCAAGATAAGTAAAAATAAATGAATTCCTATTCCTGGAGTCAGGCTCATTTGGCCTTCTCAGTTATTTCGTTTTTTTTTTTTTTTTTTTTTTTTTGAGACGGAGTTTCGCTCTTGTTACCCAGGCTGGAATGCAATGGCGCGATCTCGGCTCACCGCAACCTCCGCCTCCTGGGTTCAGGCAATTCTCCTGCCTCAGCCTCCTGAGTAGCTGGGATTACAGGTACGCGTCACCCTGCCCAGCTAATTTTTTTGTATTTTTAGTAGAGACGGGGTTTCACCATGTTGGCCAGGATGGTCTCGATCTCTTGACCTCGTGATCCACCCGTATTGGCCTCCCAAAGTGCTGGGATTACAGGTGTGAGCCACCGCGCCCAGCCCTCAGTTATTTCTAAGAAAATAATTAAATGGGCCAGGCGCAGTGGCTCACGCCTGTAATCCCAGCACTTTGGGAGGCCGAGGCGGGTGGATCACGAGGTGAAGAGATCGAGACCATCCTTGGCCAACATGGTGAAACCCCGTCTCTACTAAAAAATACAAAAAATTAGCTGGGCATGGTGGCACGTGCCTGTAATTCCAGCTACTCAGGAGGCTGAGGCAGGAGAATTGCCTGAACCCAGGAGGCGGAGGTTGCGGTGAGCTGAGATCACGCCATTGTACTCCAGCCTGGGTAACAAGAGCGAAACTCCGTCTCAAAAAAAAAAAAAAAAAAGAAAAGAAAATAATTAAATGGCCACTGTAGCACTTGAAAATCCAATGCCAATTAACAGTACATAATTTTTGTTTCCACTGCTTTTTTTTTTTTTTTTTTTTTACCATGAAAAGCCATGGTCCGAAGCAGTCGATCAGCCACCTCCTGTGGGAATACTCCAGGTTCCTGCAGACACAATGTTCCATCTTGTCTGGCTGAACAGAACTTCTCAAGGTGAGTAGTCAAGAAATTCAAGCAGATATCGAGTAAGGAATAGGGAGATGCTTCCTCCTTGGAGCCCAGGGAAAAATATAAAAAAAAAAATAAAAGCCAACAAATTATTAGTTTCCAGAAAAGCAAAGAACAAAACATTCATTTACTCATTCCCCAAGTATTTCCTTAGTGTCTCTCATATGTTAGAAGGCACTGTGTAAGGCAGTGGAATACAATCTGTGATCTATGTTCTCAAGAAACAGTAGAAGAGAAACACTGAAACAAACATTTACATCCAGTCCCTTTAGTACTAAAATAGAGGACACATTAGGTATTACACAGCAGGGGGTTCTATCAGTCAGGGATGGTGAGAGTTGGACCTCAGGAGCTTAGGAAGCTCGAAACCAACTAAAGCATCACAAATATGAGTGATGCATTAGACATGAGTACGAAGTTGAGAAAACTATTTTTTTTAAATAGGGTAGGGCCAAGGTGGGAGGATCACTTGAGGCCAGGAGTTCGAGACCAGCCTGGCCAACATGGCGAAACCCCGTCTCTACTAAAAATATAAAAATTAGCTGGGCATGGTGGTGCATGCCTATAGTTCCAGCTATTCAGGAGGCTGAGGCAGGAGAATCACCTGACCCCAAAAGGCAGAGGTTGCAGTGAGTCGAGAATACACCACTGAACTCCAGCCTGGGTGACAGAGTGACACTCTGTCTCAAACAAACACAAGACAAGTTTATCCTAAGATTCATATGGAAACCCAACACCCAGAATAGCCAAAACAATCTTGGAAAAAAAAAAAAAGTTGAAAGACCTTGATTACTATAGTAATCAAAACTACAGCACTAGCGTAAGGACGGACACATAGATCAATGAACTAGAATTCAGAGTTCAGAAATAAACTCTTACATTCGTGGGCAACTGATATTGACAAGAATTCCAGGATAATTCAACGGGCTAAAGAATAGGCTTTTCAACAAATGATGCTGGGACCAATGGACATCAACATACAAAAGAATAAAGACAGAGTCCTATCTCACTCCATGTAGAAAAATTACACCAAAATAGATCAAAGCCCTAAATATAAGAGCTAAGATTGTTTCTCTTAGAAGAAAACATAGGTGTAAAAAGTTCTGGCTTTAGATTAGTAAAATTTCTTAATAAGAAACCAATGTACATACAATCAAAGAAAAAATATCTATGTTAAACTTTATTGAAATTAAAAACGTTTGTGCTTCAAAGATCACCAAAAAGAAAGTGAGAAGGGCACAGTGGCTCACACCTGTAATGCCAGAACTTCGAGAGGCTGAGGCAGGAATACTGCTTGAGCCCAGGAGTTTTTTTTTGTTTGTTTGTTTTTTTGAGATGGACTTTCGCTCGTTACCCAGGCTGGAGTGCAATGGCGCGATTTCGGCTCACCACAACCTCTGCCTCCTGTGTTCAGGCAATTCTCCTGCCTCACCCTCCTGAGTAGCTGGGATTACAGGCACACGCCACCATGCCCAGCTAATTTTTTGTATTTTTAGTAGAGATGGATTTTCACCATGTTGGCCAGGATGGTCTCGATCTCTTGACCTCGTGATCCACCCACCTTGGCCTTCCACAGTGCTGGGATTACAGGCTTGAGCCACCGCGCCCAGCCCGAGCCCAGGAGTTTGAGACCAGCCAGAGGAACATGGTGAAATCCTGTCTCTACAAAAAAACACAGAAATTACCGGGGCATGATGGTGCATGCCTGTAACCCCAGCAACTTGGGAGGCTGAGGCAGGAGAATCGCTTGAACACAGGAGGCAGAGGTTGTAGTGAGCCAAAACGGCGCCACTGCACTCCAGTCTGGGAGCCTCAAAAATAAATACAAAATAAATGTAGGCAAAGGTAGGCCAGGTGCAGTGGCTCACACCTATAATCCCAACACTTTGGGAGGCCAAGATGGGAGGATCACCTGAGGTCAGGAGTTCGGGACCAGCCTGGAAAACATGGTGAAAACCCGTCTCTACTAAAAATACAAAAATTAGCTGGGCGTGGTTGCAGGTGTCTGTAGTCCCCACTAGTTGGGAGGATGAGGCAGGAGAATTGCTAGAACCCAGGAGGCAGAGGTTGCAGTGAGCCAAGATGGCACCACTGTACTCCAGCCTAGGTGATAGAGCCAGACTTGGTCTCAAAAAAAAAAAAAAAAAAGGCAAAGGGGGCCGGGCGCAGTGGCTCACAGCTGTAATTCTAGCACTTTGGGAGGCCAAAATGGGTGGATCACCTAAGGTCAGGAGTTCAAGACCAGCCTGGCCAACATGGTCCAGTCTACTAAAAATACAAAAATTAACCAGGTGTGGTGGTGCACTCCTGCAATCCCAGATACTCAGGAGGCTGAGGCAGGAGAATCACTTGAACACAGGAGGCGGGAGGTGCAGTGAGCTGAGAGCACACCAATGCATTCCAGGCTAGGCAACACAGCGAGACTGTTCTACCCCATCCCCCAAAAAAGTGGTCTGAATTGGTTTTACAACACTACTGACACCAAATTTCTGGGCTTTTCCCATGCCAACAACCAGTTCTGACACCAACTGGGTAACCTACTATTCATTTCTGACACTACCCGGAATTACCATAGCACTACAGGTTAAGGCCACGGCCTCCACTGCAGGTGCCAGTCACAAGTCCCAGGTTTCCACCTGTACTTCTGACCAATGTGCTATAAACTGGGAGATCCCAAAATCCCTGAGGAGGGCCTCATGTTTGATTATCTGCTAATACAACTCAGGAAGGCACTTCACTTACCATTAACTTCCAGGGAGGGGAGAGGGACTGAAAGTTGTTAATATCCAGTGGCCAATGATTCAATTAATCATGCATATGTAATGACACCTCCATAAATCCCCCCCAAAAATGGGGTTTGGAAGGCATCCAGGTTGCTGTACACATGGAAGTGATGTGGGGAGGGGTGTGCTAGAGAAGGCATTGCCCTGTGTATCTCTTCCATCTGGCTGTTCATTTGTATCCTTTAAAATATCCTTTATAATAAAGTAAGTACACTTTTAGCAGGTTATGTGAGCCCTCTAGCAAATTACCAAACACAGGGAAGGAGGTCTGGGAACCTCCAGTTTGTAGCCAAGACTAACAGGTGGGCCGAGCACAGTGGCTCAAGCCTGTAATCCCAGCACTTTGGGAGGCCTAGGCGGGTGAATCACGAGGTCAAGAGATCGAGACCATCCTGGTCAACATGGTGAAACTCCGTCTCTACTAAAAATACAAAAAATTAGCTGGGCATGGTGGCGCGTGCCTGTAATCCCAGCTACTCAGGAGGGTGAGGCAGGAGAATTGCCTGAACCCAGAGACGGAGGTTGCAGTGAGCCGAGATCGCACCATTGCACTCCAGCCTGGGTAACAAGAGCGAAACTCTGCCTAAAAAAAAAAAAAAGACTAACAAGTGTTGTGGTTCATCCAGAGACCTACTACCTGGTTGGCATAGGAAGTGGGAGGCAGTCTTGTGGAAGTGAGCCCCTCATCTGTGGAGTCTATGCTAGCGAAGGTTACTGTCAGAATTGAAGACAATTTTAGGGCATCTAACTGATGTCCGCGGAGAATAGGAGAATTGCTCGGTATAGGAAAAATAAATCCACACGATCTAGTCACAGACGTGTTTTGTGCTGAGAGTACAGTATGAGAAAACAACTTGTTTTCTTCTACTATATGGTTTGGTATCAAAAGTATTGAGAGTAGCGTGAATATAAAGGAGTATAAAGAAGGAAAAAATGTTTTTCTGATCATATGCCTTGGTCCTTCTGGCAACCAGCCCAGAAAGAAGCTGCCTAGGGACTCCTAGACACCAGCTGACTCATTAGCATACAAAATCTCTTTTCACTCCAGAGGTTCCAAGAGTTTTGGGAGCTAATGTGGAAGAAACAGGGCATAAAGACCAATTTTTTTTTTTCCACACCTGTCCCTAATACTTTATTGGTCACCTTTAGGCCTGTGTGCGGCTGGGTGGGCTGGGGGAGGGCGTCACTATTCAGCTCCCAGGTGGAGGCATGAGAAGGCCTGGCTGGACCTAGCCCTTCAGGGTTCCAGACTGTGGAGTTTGGAGGGGCAGGTCTGGCCTTTCCTGGGTCAGCACAGGGCACCCAGGTGGGGACACAGGTGGGCACTCAGCACAGGCACCTAGGTAGGGGCGTGAGCTTACTATCCGTTGGCCAGCCTACTTGTGTTTGGAGAAGTATTTCTTGCTGTCATCCATGTTGGGCTTAATCGTGTCACTGCCAGGCTTCCAGCCAGCGGGACAAAATTCCCCATGCTCGTCCGTGTACTGGAAGGCCTGGACCAGTCTAAGAGCCTCATCCATGGAGCGTCCCACAGGCAAATCATTAACACTGATCGGGCGAAGGACACCCTTGCCATCGATTACAAAGACACCCCTGTATGCAATGCCCTCATCTGTTTTCAGCACGCCATAATCCTCAGACAAAAGTCTGGTCACATCAGCAAGCAGGGGGATGTGCAGGGGGCCCAAGCCCCCCTCCTTCTGGAGGGTGTCGATCCAAGCCAGGTGGGTGAACTGAGAATCCACCGAGACGTCTCGCCCAGCACTTCACAGTCCAGCTTGCGGAAGTCCTCGGCACGGTTGCTGAACGCGATGATCTCCGTAGGGCACACAAAAGTGAAGTCCAGAGGGTAGAAAAAAACAGGACCACGTACTTCCCTTTGTAGTCTGATAGCTTCACCTCTTTGAAGGCGCCATCCACCAAGGCTGTGGCCTTGAAGTGAGGGGCAGGCTTTCCGATGCGCACGTTACCGGAGGCCATGGCTGAAAGCTGCGTGGGCAAAGGCTAGCCGCACGGATGATCACGCGTGTGGACCCGCGTTCTCAGCGCCAAAGACCAAATTTTTTATTTATTTTTATTTATTTATTTATGTATGTATTTATGTATTTATTTATGTATTGATTGATTGATTGATTGATTGAGACGGAGTTTCGCTCTTGTTACCCAGGCTGGAGTGCAATGGCGCTATCTCAACTCACCGCAACCTCCGCCTCCTGGGTTCGGGCAATTCTCCTGCCTCAGCCTCCTGAGTAGCTGGGA